AACGACCGCCGCCTCGACCCCGGATCACCTGAAAACTAGGGCGCAGCCGACCGAAGACGGGAACTCGAGCACCACCGGTCCCGTGATCGTCTTGGTTTCTGTTCCCGAGTGGAGGCGGAAGTTGGAGAAGGATCGCGACAAGTTCGCGTTGAAGAACCCGTTCCTCAGGCACGCTGAGGACAGCAACCATATGCACGAGATGCCGTCGTCGAAGACGGATTACGTGAAAAATATTCATAAAGGTAATGATGAGCCAGTGAAATGAAAAGAAAAATTTAGGAAAAACTAAAGTAAAATATTCTTCTTATTTGAATCTTTTGTAGGACTAGATAGATATAAAATTGAAATGAATATAAGACTACGGTAATAATATTAAAAATAGATCATTATTGTTGAATGTTTGGATCATCAACCGTTATTGTTTAGATAATTGTTGCATTGTACGAGGGGAAAGAATATTTCGTATAATTAATGGGGTATTGATGGTATTTAAATATGGTTTATTTAAAAAAACACAGGAATAGATAATTGAATAGAATACAAATAAATAGAAACGATATAGCTCGCAGTGTACAGGTCTTTCCTCTTCTCGGGTCAACGCAACACACCAAATTCTCAAACACACCCCACTCTTCCTCGCTTACGCATCCTTCGGAAAAACCCGCCAACCCTTGGGTTTGGTCTCCATGAGTCCCTTTCTCTTTTATGGCCCTTAGAACACTCGCTGTCCCACTGTCTTAAAACTACGATACTGCATTAATATCCAAACAAATATAATTTTCAATATTTATGAACTGTAGGTTAATGTATTAATGAACGTTTCGGTTAAAAAATGTGATACAAAACTAGAATTTACTTTGAATCGATTACACAAGGATTGAAAGGGCTAATACGAGCCATTATATAAAAAGTCACGTCTTTTAAACAGATCTTTTATTTTGAGAAAGATCTTGATACATAAAACTGTGTTCAAAGACTTCATACACTAAGTGCTTGATTTTTACTTAAACCGTACACCAAAGTCCTTGATTTTAATTAGATGCGATGCACCTGTTGTCAATCCCTCTGGACATCGCTCTGATCGTGGTAGCTTCGATCATATTCCTCGGCCTGACGTCCGTGGCAGTGGTGATGGTCCTCCACATGCGGTCGAAGCTCTTCGAATCGGCTAGACTCTCGATCTACGAGGTAGAGAAGACGAGGAACCGAGAAAACACGGGCACAATCGATAAAAGGAACACCTCCATAGTCACCAGTACTTTGTCCCGTGAGTAGCGACTTTGAAATCCTACTTTTCCCTTGCTCAGTGAAATCCGTCTACCCTTGACCCCGATTTCCTCCTTGTAATCCTATCGGAGCGGCCATCTTGAACCGTTCCGAGGCGTGGATTACTCGCGACGGATTAACCCTACTACAGTCCCCATTTCATCTGGCCATTCAAGGAACATTCCTTTGAAATAGATAGGAATAGCTACGCTGATAAGTGTTTTCCCGCGTTCTTCTTAAACTCGGAAGTATCTTTGGGAAAATAAGAATCCTATTAAATTGGAAAACTTTGAAGAATCATGATTGGTTCGAAAGAAATGAAAGCGCGATTGCAGCAGGGACGAATGTCGTCACATTTCTGGCATCAGGCCTCGGTATCTAGAATCGAAATTTGCAAGCAAATTATTTTGTTACTCGAACAACAAAGGTTCAATGTATAGGTTTCTACTTCTCTGGTTTTCAAGAATTCAACGTATAATTGATCTGTATGAGAAAAGAGTTTCTCAATTGCAACATTATCGTACTATAACGCGTTTTCCATTTCCAGTTAAGCATACACTGCTTTCCACAGAGAGTATTTTTATTTTAAAATCCATTGACAAAAATTATTTAAGACTTCTTCTTTGTGTTACCAATCGTAAACTTGAATGAAGAAGCCAGGTTTTCTAAAAATTGTTTCATTCGATATTCCAGAATCCCCGGTGACCGTGAGTCCAGCGTATCTCGCGACTACTCCGGACGCTGGGACCATTCTAACAATACCGAACTTGGATCCCGCGAGCATCTACGCCAATGGTGCTGCCACCATCGGTCTTCGCATATCTGACAGTCTGCGCGGTAAGTATGTAGTTTAATCGCTAACTCTGTCGGTACTGTTTATTCGATTCCGTGGACTTTAGTCTGAACGGAGGGTCTTCGGTTTTAACTCTACCGTTATCCTCGATTCAGTTATACATACAGTGTCGCGATTATTCAATCATCCGAATACTGTGATTTCATATGTGAGACTATAAATCGAAGACATAGGATAACATTGATTTATTTCAGATCTTGTTCGCAAGGAAATGAAGCTCTACTGCTTTTGTCGAGCACACTATCAACTGTCAGATTATCAAGTTTGATTAATAATATACATCAAAATTTATGTATTTGAGGCACTCACAGTTTAATGTATTTTCTGTCAATTTTCTAAAGCTTCGGCAGCAACGGTCATTTCGATTCACTGGAATATTCAATGGGTCGAATAACCTTAACGTTAGGGAAATCAGTGGAGAAACTCTTTTCCCCAGATTTCCTGCAGGACGACCACTATGACCGACCCCCATCAACCCGTGTGCGTCTGCAGACGTTCAGCTGCGACCCGACCACGGAGCACATATACGACGAGATCCCGCTGCAATCGAGCCCCATGTGTTCTCGTAAGAGCACATGATCGAGATACATGTACATACCCGGCCTGTGTAGACCATGGGTGTTCAAATATTTGGTTTGTCTGGACCACAAGGAGAGAAGAACAAATTGTCTTTGAAGACGTGCAACAAGTGTTTGCAAAAGTTTCCATGATATTTTGCTCTCATTAACCGAATCCGCGGTACGCGTATGCGTGGCTCAGAACAATAGTAGCCGAACTCTTATTTCTGAGCTGGCTCAAAGTTAAACTTTAAGGTTTCGAATACCTAATACTACATTAACGTATCACATTACTAACATATAAACTATAATACTATATTACAGTACTAACAATAATACAATAAACACCCAAATTTTAATATTGAACACTAAAGCTTCGAAGAATTGAGCTTTACAGAACTCTAGACCGTCAAGACTCTTTAATGTTAGGCCTTGAAGCCAAAGACTTGCAATGTTGAACCCTGAAGCTTCGAGAATGAAAGAACTTTAAACTCTGAAAAAGCCAGAATCTAAAGTTGACACTTGAAGCTTCGAGAACACTATGTAGAACAGTAATAACCTTATGGGACCTGATCTAGACAAAGACCGACAGGAATCCAGCGTGTTCGATTGATCCGTTAAGAAAGCAGCGGTCGGAGTGGCGTCGTGGATACTGTTCATGTGTTTCTACCGGCGGGGCCGGTTTCGCGGAAGAGTGGCGAGGAAAACTGTCGCGCCAGAGGCGTTCGCGTGCCATTGTTCCACTCACGATCTCTCACGTGTGCGCGATTCCGGAGGCGGATGTGAGAGAGCTGGCTCGTCTACGGGGGCCGGGAAAAATCCAACCGGACTGGTTCCCGACCTTACGCGCTAGGACTCGTCCACCGTTGCAAGGCTGAACGTGACACTACGATCGGTACAGTCGTCGCCAAGATATCGCGAGATCGTGAAACCGATCGAGCATTAAATTAAACATGTTCCGAGCGGCGGGATAAAGCAATTGACTGCCCCAGCGCCTGCAACATCAACTACTACCGACTCTGAAGATTAGTATCCTGCTTTAACTAGACTGCCACGAGAATTCTCAGCGTTTTGTATACTATTATTTATTTTTTTATAGAAGAACAGATAAGTGATAAAGATAATAATTAAACATTCTGTATCGGTGTTGTTATGTTACACTGTTATTTAATTACTTACTTTACTAGTATTTCTATTCGACATCAATTATCCCATTGTAATTGCCCTGAAGCAATTTGCAAGCTCCGGTTGGTCATCAAACTTTCTTAACGACTATGCTACTCATTATTAGATTCATTTTACTATTAGCATAAGAACTAATTTTCTCTTGGAATGAAGTATTGATAAAGACAAAGTGAGTCTTCACGTCGATCCACATAGAATGGATCCACATTCATTCTTATTAGACTTAACTAGAAATATTTATCACGGATCTCACTCGTCATAATACGGTAAGGGGTTGATTTAGTGTCTTGCTGTACCGTGGCGACGACTATATTCACGCCGTCACCGAGATCGCTCGATCTCGCGTACCGGCCTGGAAAGTTTCGCCTCGCGGACGTTCGGCCGTGCCAAGCGTACACGCGGCGCTCGGTCGGCAGAAAAACGGACACCGATTAGATTACACGCCGGGGCGTGTTCTTACAGGCAAGACAACTTTTCCCCAGGCGACGTTGACGTCAACGTGGCCATCGAGCCCCCCGGTGAGCTCACGTCAGCCATGAACACGCGAGACCTCGCGGTCTCGGCGTTCCCTCGATTCTATCGCGGCGCCACCGCCATTTTGGTACCCGGCGGATGTTGGATGGCTGGGAACATTGTTTCATTGAATAGTCATTCAACGTATGTCCTCGGAATTCTTTGAGCTCCGACATTATGAGATTCTTAGGATTCTCGAGTATTTTGGTATTTGTTAACCATTCGCCTTATAATTTATTTCGAAAGTTTTATTGTATGGGATTCATCGCAAATTATTTCGTTTGTCAAAGCATTTTGCTGGTGATCTTTTGTTAGAAGAAAAGGGGATTCTCTGCTCTTGCTTCTATGAACGGAAAATTCTAATGAAACCGAAATATGTTTTGATTAACTTCGTATTTTGCACGTTCTTTTTTCTATAAACGCACGAAGATGCGCAGTCTGTTGATAACAAGAGAATAGTATTTCATTTCGACGTAAAAAGATTGAGTAATATTCGTGTTTATTAAATAGAATTTGAGTCACTATGAGTCCGATATGAGATTAGAGGGCAAGGGGTTAAATATACAGTTCTTTATGATTGAAAGCAATTCTAAGTAGCATTAAACTACAAAGAAAAATGATCTTTACCCGCCACTGTTACGACTGACTTTATTCGTTGAAATTGTACGGAAAGGTATAAAAAAGTGTGCTTTGAGAGTGTTCAAATGATGGTTTATGAATTGATAATTCACATAACATGCCGGGCACGCCAATATGGCGGACTCTTTTATTCGCAGATTATTTTCCTACACACGAAACGCTGGAAATGATCGATCGCCGCAAATAAGATCTACAGAGTTCCGCTCGTACTTTAATTAAATCGGACAGCCTTGATTGGGAAAGAATCTACCGTACTATTTTAACATTTCCCCGGGTTCTATAGCGTTTCTATATATAAATCCGATAAAAGGCGGCTGTCTGAAATTATCCATGGAGTCATGAACTTTATGAATGGATAGCTCAAGATATCAGAGGCTAGAAAAGTAGAACGCGTGGCGTGAATTAAGCTGTCAGCGGCCCGAAGATTACATGGGTCCGTAACACGGTTCTACGTTCACGAAGATCGAAGATCAGATAAATCCTACATTAGTCGGAAAATATTTGACGAGCTTACTTAACAGATTGCTCACGGATTGATCCTAATTAATATACCTACGGCTAAAAGCTCTTCCATCTTCTGTCTGCTATACACAAGTAAAGGTTGCAACACAATATTCAATTCAATCGCAAGTGACAAAGAATTATTCACTTCGATTATAAGAGACGAAAAATTGCGAAATAATTCGATTCAACTATACTTTTATACCAAATTATAATGCTCAAAGATACGCCATGTATCGATCGCAACGACGAATCGGCTGATAATACACATGCAAGAGATACGAAATTTGCGAACGCCCATTTGAAACAACAGCTACAACAATTATAAATTACGTATGTACGGTGACGCAACTTGATCGACAACCACCGCGTATGAATCATCCCTAGATCATCGCGGAAAACTTACCAAAGATGCAAACGATGCCAAAGAGATTCAACGGATCGAGTCATCGCCGGAACCGTTCGTCTTCGGATCGTGTCCGAAGTCTGCACTAAACGTCCGCGTGTATCGGCGGCCGCGCGATAACCGGAGAGTCGCGTTCGCAGCTCGAGGCTGCACTTACTGTGTTGACATCATCGATAATAATAAAATCGTAACGAATCTTCTGAGGCTTCGCGGTCCATCTTCGTCGAGCGAGGAAAAAGAAACGGAAAGGAAAACAGCTTCGATCCGGACTCGCAATTCGCTGTTTGTATGTCGATAATCGAAGAGTTCGCGTGGAAAACATTCTAAGTGGCACAACTGTAAAGTTTCCTTTTTCTATTCTTATCCTGTAATATACAATTTAAGTGCATTTTCCCTTTTGTAAATAGACATGAATAGTAGCAGTCAACCATGATATTGATAATATTGAACGATGGTATCAGTATGACAGAATGTTCAGCGTAATGTTAGGTAACTTATAAAGGTGTGCGAGGAAAACAATCGGATTTAAGTAGAAGTAAATTTATTTATAAGTTTGAGTAAAAGGAAAATAATAGATGGAGTAAAATGTAATAAAATATAATGTAATATTATTTGGTTATTATTCTTGCTCCACATTCTGTCCTTTATAATTTTAAAAAGATATCCAACTCGATATTTTCGAATTCTGGCACATTGCTACTTTGTTCCTCCTCTTGAAAAATGTGATGTTGAGACTTACTAATTTTTCTACAAATTGATACCTTTCTAAATGAATTTTAATAAATTCAACTCGATACTCTTCCAATTTAATTTTAATAAATTCAAATTAATACTTTTCTAAATCAATTCTAATGAACTCGATTTAATACTTTCCTAATTTAATTTTAATAAATTCAAATTAATACTCTTGATTCATACTGAGTATACTTCGCAACGATGACGAGCCGCGTGCACGCGCCACGATAAAGACGCGCGCGGCTCGATTCATCGCCACGCGTTTCTCTTTGTTACCGCACGACGTTATCTCGGCCACGGGATCCATAATCGCGCGGGAAAAAGCGAAACGCCGTTTCTACGAACGATGAGCTCGATCTTCCGGACGATTCCTCCCCATTATTTTTTTCCTGATTCATCGAACGTCACCGGACACCGTGCGAAGTTTATCTGAAATCGAAAATTGGGGCGCTAGGTGGCCATCACGAGCTTCCGATTCCTCGTTTTATCGTCCGTACACCACTGCTTCCTTTGTCCATCGGTATCTGCGGGTTACGTAAACCAACGACGCACGGAACTGCAGTTTTTTTAACCCTTTGTGCGGAGACAGCCAGTTCGATTAACTCCTTTGCAGTCAAAATATTTTTCGCTGCGTATGTTCATAATTGTCTACTGGGACGTCGATTAAATTTTTGGATGTACAAAATAGAAATAATATATTATAAAGGGACAGAGGTATTTAATTTCAATGTATTTGATTCCAATATTTCATGTTTCATTATATTAGATTATATTCAGTATAGAATATCCAATTGTATAATTTTGTTAAACAATGGCGACTGTGATTTGAGTCTCGAGTTCAAAGGGTTAATACTTTTACCTCTGACCGCGTTGAATTTGACTCGACCATCGATTATTGTTAATTTTCTTTGATGTTGAAGTATTCCGAGGACTTGTACACTTGGAAGTGGAATCGGCTTGTAATAAATTATTTATGGTCACACGACGAACCATCTTGTACCTTGATCAAACAAGGTACTTAGCACTTGTTACGAAAGCAGCTAAAATATTTGAGTTTCTATTAGAAGTAATTTCATCGTTTCCACGATAGATTCGTGAAGTAACATAAAAAGTTGAAGTTCATCTTAAACAGCGTGGGCGAGGATAGTTTCCGCTCGAGATTTCGAGGAATAATTAAAATAGCTTGTCAAACTGTAACTTCAGAGCGTAAAGATATTCCGTTCCATTCATCGGAATCAGAGTTGAGCAAAACGTTATCTCATTACATATTACCGACAATGATTCAAATGTAATGGCTGATACGATAACATATCATCTTTTACGATCTCCAATTCTCACTAACGTACAACCGAAGTTGATCTAATTACAGTGGGCCCCAATTCACAATTACGAGTAGCAACTTACAATCGAATAAAACGTACGTTCTGGTTCCTTCAAAGTTACCAGCACACATTTATATATCTAATTTATCTTGACATTCAAATTTATTGCTCAACCTTTTACCTCTCCAAACATTACGAATTCCAATGAAATAGAATCTGAAACCATCTCTCCCAAACAGATTCGTCTCTATAAAGATCAATCATTCTAGATTATATTTCGCCCGACTCCGATCGAAGCTTCAACCACTCTCTTCGACGCGTTTCCAATAACACGAACGAAAAAGAAATGAAAAAGAATCATCCCGTCGATGAATCGGTGGCGTGCATTCGTCGCGCGCGCGCTGATTTCTATGAACTCGGTCAGCCTCGCCACGGCAGATCCATAAACATTTCTGCGAACAACTACGCAGCCGGGATCGTCGAAAGATGGGTATGTAACTGGTGTGACCCCTGTGGCCGCCTCGGTGTTATCGGGGATCGATGTGATCGCGCGCGGCACGAAAATAAGAAACCAGTCTTCCATCCGCGCTCACATGATCAACAACATGCGGCGAACGGTGATCGTATGCGCGTCGTTGCTGACGCTGCTTGCCGTCGACACCCTGGCGATCGAGGGCGTGAAGGGCGGCCATCGGTCCCACACAGGTGCCAAAGGAGGACGGCCCGGGCAAAATGTCGCCGTGAACACCACCGTGTCCGCCGGACTTTGCTACAAGACGATACCGTGAGTAATGCCGCGTTCCCGCGTGCTCCCGCGACGCTCCCTTTCGTTGACAGAGTCGCTATCACCTCGGACGAAGCGTTAACGAGATCCTGTTGTTTCTTGTAAACAATATATCTCCGATCTCCCGTAAACATTGAATAATTCGAGAGCTTTACCGACAAATTTCAAGGTCCACAGTGGTCGCTTAGCAACCGCAGTGTACTATAGTTCGAGTTGAAAAGCATAAAAGTTGTATTTTACCTTCGTCATTCTTTGAAAATGAATTTCAATCGCTTTGTGCTGCTGGTAATATTTAAACTGCAGCTTCTGTAGTAACTGTAGCTTCTGTAGTAAATGAAGAGAACGCGAAGATTAATGTTTTCCATTCATCACGGTTTCGGGAAGATTAATTTCTTCATTCAACGTAATGAAGTTCCAAAGCGATTGGAGGGAATAAAAGCAAAACGGGGGAAAGGCTGACGATAAGGGGAACATAAATGTTTATTCGGTTAATCGTCTGTTATGTTTGCAAATGGACGTCCTGTTTTATCTGTTTCGTTGTGTCTTCGAACGATTGTTAGTCATGCATTGTTGAGAGAGGGCTCCTTGTTTAGGCTACTTGAAAATTTCCGCGGTTCATGGAATTGTGTCATTCGAGACTTTCTCGTGGGACTGTACTCGAGGTAGCTTACCGTTGAAGTGGGGACGCGGCTTAACCCCGAACGTTCCAGAAATGGGCCGAGCGTGCGGACCTGTAACGTGTGATACGTGAACGCATTGCTGAAATTATAATAGAGCGAAACGCAGCGTCCGCGGGACGGGGTTCGGCGTAAGAACGCGGTTAACCTTTGGCCCCTGCGGTTATCACGGCAACGTGAGCTCCCGAGTTTGCTTATGTTTTCATGCGACTTCGTGTACTTACAGCTACGCAGATGCACTGGCTATGAACTCCACGGGACAATTCCCTCATAACACTCTTCCCTCGACACACGAGGCTGGAACGGTAAATACGTTTTGCTAGCCAAGGCATAGACCTGTTACAACAGTTGATAACATGCTGCTCGAAATGATTGGAGGACTCGTTTGGTAGACATCTTGGGTGCAGTGTCTGGGGACTGTAAAAATAGGATAACATGTTACATGAAAACAAGAGAACCCTTAATATGTCGAAACTAGAACTATCGTATAGTTATGGTGACTTATTTGAAATTCCCCTGTAAAAATGCGAGATTCTGTAGTTGAGATTCTGAGTTACCTTTATTATTTTATCTCAGCAAATGCGTAAATTAGATTAATGATCTTTCACAGGAACTTCTTTGTAATTACAATACTTGTGAAAACAGAAATTCCGTAATGGGTCATTTTGATAGCCTTTGAGGTTTAACCGAGGGAAAAACAATTTATTGTCGTTGAGACAGTGAAATCGTGATACTAAAGTGGCTATGCTCGCTCTTCGTGGCACAGTCTTATCTGAGACAGGAACGAACCCAAATTCTCGTAAAATGTTTGGTATTCTGAAGATCCCTGACCGCATACCCTAAATTCTGAAGGTCTTAAAGAGCCCGGGAACTTGAAATTCTTTGAACTCTGATAAGGATGTATCGGATTTAATCATAACTTCGCAGACATGTTGACGTCACAGGATATGATCGTCAATGTGAACACCTCTTGTCAGTACTGCATATATGTAACATGTTTCAGCAAAGATTGGTGAAAATGCGTCAAATGAAATTTCAAATTTCTAAATTCATTCCAATATTGTTCCATTCGATTCGACGAATGAAACGTTGGAATACAAAAATCTGCACGATGTCCGAACAAAAACAGTCCCCTCCAATTTCTTTAAGCAACAGAGATCTCGATGAAGGACATGCAATCTAAGAATTCCCCCAAATCCACTAGACAAATGGACTGATCACGATCCTAGACTGCTGCGACGGCTATGAGCGCAACTTGATGTCCGGAGGCTGCGAGCCTCGCTGCAACCAGGGCTGTTACGGGGGAAAGTGCACCGCGCCGAACGTTTGCAGTTGTCCGCCAGGTTGGTTCCCGCAGGAGGGTGTCTGTATGCCGTACTGCGAGATGCCCTGTCAAAAGGACGCCTACTGCTTCTCGCCGAACGTGTGCGCCTGTAAATTAGGCTACGACGAGGTGAACGGCGAGTGCAAGCCTATTTGTCCAGGTGGTTGCAACAATGGAGACTGCGTAGCACCGAGGGTTTGCAGGTGCAAGCCTGGCTATTCGTTGCAGTCTTCTGCGGACCCTGCATCAGTGATTGAGCCTAAGATATGCGTGCCAGTCTGCGAGAACTGTCGCAATGGAGAGTGTACTGCTCCAGGAGTTTGCACCTGTCACGAAGGGTAAGCTTTCTTGATATAATGGCATTGGTGAAACTAGTAAATACAGTAAACAGGTTAATTCCAGGTGAGATGGCCTAATTTCATTTAGATTGTCAAATTTCTGTATTTTCTATTGTTTTCAGTGGCGCATTGACTCTTGCTCAAAGGCCTATTTAATTATTCTCCTTATATATATATTTGCTTTTATAAATATATTTTGCTTGTTAGTCATCAATGATATTTATAATCTAATAGTTCTCTTAAGAAACATGGGCCATCGCTTCCCAACTTACCCCACAGTAAGCTTTAGCGCACACTTAGGTAGTCAATACTTTACCTGCATCATCCAATTCCTCAGATACAAGAATCCCCCAGGCGACACCGAGACCTGCAACCCAGTCTGTCTAAACCTCTGCGAAGGAGGGGACTGCGTTTCCCCGGGAGTCTGCAAGTGCAAACCAGGTTTCACTCTAGGTCCGGACGGCCGCTGCGTCCCAGACTGCCCCACAGGATGTCCCAACGGCGAGTGCGTGGCCCCAGGAGTCTGCACTTGCAAACCAGGCTACTCAATAGACCCTACAGGCAAATGCGCACCCCAGTGTCTTCGAGGATGCACGAACGGCGTGTGCGTGGCTCCAAATACCTGCAACTGTAGTCCAGGTTACACCCAAGACCCCAGTGGCAACTGCATACCCGAGTGTCCCCAAGGCTGCCCGAACGGCGAGTGCGTCTCCCCGGGTGTCTGCAACTGCAAGATCGGCTTCACGCGCGACTCAACCGGCAGCTGCGTTCCCCTGCCAGGCATGTCCAGCACCGGGCCGCTGTGCAAATACGGTTGCGGCGCGAACGGGACCTGCGTGGGACCGAACCGTTGCGTGTGCGACTTGGGGTCCCGCGTGGACCCGGACACCGGCATGTGCATACCGTCGCTGACTTCATTCCAGTGCAGAAACGGTTGCGGGTCTCATGGGGTTTGCGTCGGGCCCGACCTGTGCATCTGCGACTACGGGTTGATGGTGGACCCGGAGACTGGCAAGTGTCCCGAGCCAAGACCCACCGACCGGACGCCGTCCATGTGCAGATACGGCTGTGGCCCGTACGGCAGGTGCGTTGGACCCAACCAGTGCATCTGCGAGGCGGGCTACGTGATGGATCTCCAGACCGGCCGCTGCACGCAACCCACTAGGGATCCATCGCAGGCGGGTGAACCGATCTGCGAGACGCCTTGTCTGAACGGCGACTGCGTCGGACTGAACCAGTGCAACTGCAAACGCGGCTACACGATGGACCTAGCGGACCCGACCCGGTCCAGATGCCTGCCAGTCTGCATCGGCGGCTGCCCCAACGGCGTCTGCACCGCACCCAACTTCTGTATCTGCAATATCGGCTACAGGAAGGAGACAGGGGTCAAGGGCAGACAGAGATGCGTGCCGGTTTAATAGACCCGATCGACGGAATCCGGACTTCGGAGCGGCAATCCACGATTGGAGATCATCATCCGCGTGACTGTGAATCTCGAGGTGTAGCGATAATCATAGACGCCGATATTGTTTAATTGTATCGTTTGTAACATTGATTCACGAATAAAGGGATTTGGCGGCTGGAATTGTCACGAGGATTCGGGCAAGCTTACTACGAGCGTGTTGCACGGGGCATGTTGCACATTAAAGATGTAGCCCAATGCAACCGTCCACACAAGCGTGGAACGCGCTGCGGTTGCTGATTTTGGTTTTCTCTTCTTTCCAATATTATAGCAAGGCATTCAAACGCGCGACATCCATCTCTAATGAACCGATTCCTAGTGAATACGAGTTGTAAAATGCTTATTGTGGATGCCTCATGTCAGCCAAGCCGACTTTTGGTTCAAAAGTGAAGAGGGATAAAGGGACCTCTCCATTCAAGACGCTCGAGCCTCAGCGAGCGCCAATAATGACCATGCGTCCGAAAGTCGAATGCTGTGAGTGGAAGAGTTCCCTTGCCCCTCTTTACTTTTGAACCAAAGGTCGGCTTGGTTAACGTGGGACCTACACGGTACCTAATTTAGATTTCGCGTAAATTAGTTTAAGATGCTACGTGTCGAAGTTGCATGCCCTAGCCTTATCACAGATGCCGTAGACGCAAAGACAGAGAGCCCGGGCAACGTAATGAGTCGCGACGGGAGAGAGACACGCGGTTCTTATCAATAGATATCGCCTAACATCCTGTGTCATCCTTCTGGATGCGGCTACCAGAGGCGCAAGCGGCGATAAGGGACGGCGAAACGCTGAGCTCCTCCCAACGTCGTGTTAGTTTTGCTTCCATCGTTCGTTCCAACAGTTGCGAGATGAAGCTTCTCGTGTTCGTCATTATCCTCTTCTCAATTGTTTCTCCTCAATCTGGATGCAAAAGTTACAAAACGTAGGTAGATTGCTACGATTTTCAGACGAATCGATCAATCTTAAGTGAGATTTGAATGTGTCCCACAGCGCACGGAGAACGAAGTATCAGTCGTACCTGGAAACGTATCGCGCGAAGACGTGGGGCATCTTCTACACTACGAAAATGAGGGTGAACTACAAGGTGGTGGTAAGTCGCGCGTTCGCACGTTTCCAGTTACTCGCGCGACAATCGCGGATCGTTTCGATTAAGAAAAATTCCGGTGACAAGTGGCAGGGTTGTCGGACTCGATACAGTGGTGGTGGTAATTAGGCGCCAGTTGGACCCACGGTTTCTTTGTTTAGCCACGCTGCGCGCACTGTCACTGAACCGCGGCGGCGGCGAGTGAGTTAGAGCGCAGGCAACTCTTGCGTTGAGTTCATGCAATAATTTTACGTTTTTCGTACACGGCTAGGAATACTTCTTGCTTTGTTTTCGCTCAGCTTCGGTTTAGCCAGCGAACAGTTGAAAACTATTCTTTTATTTCTTATGCAAAAATGTCAAAACTTTTGCATCAACCCAATCTAATACGGTACTTCAGTTGCATGGTTTCTTTAACCCTTTGTCCTATGATTTATTTCGTGACTGTGTTCGATAGGGCTACTATATGACAGAAGAGTGATATTCAATTTGTATACAAAAAAATTATATAATTTAGATTTAGGTAACTCACAATTTAATTCTCAGAATTAGAATATATTTATAGATGCTGCCAGATTTGTTCATGTTACTATCCGATAACTCCCGCGACACGAATACACGCGTAACGAGCGATCGTTTCAGAGTTACCTCGATCACTTTTGGGATTGCTGCTACGGCTATGAGAATGTCTATGGTTTATGCAGGCCAATATGCGAAATTGACTGCGAATCGCGCAACGCGACCTGTACTTATCCTAACACATGCACCTGCAACGATGGCTTCCAAAGGGACGACTTGCATTCTGAGTTCTATTGCCGTCCTATCTGCAACAACGGGTGTCTGTTCGGCACCTGTGTCGCACCCAACACCTGCGAATGCAACATGGGCTATCAGCTAATTGAGAACACTTGCGAACCAGTCTGCTCTGAACCCTGCCATATGGGCAAATGCATCGCTCCCGAGACCTGTCTCTGCGAGTACGGTTACAAGTTACTTGAAGGCTCGGCGCACATCTGTGAACCAGTCTGCGAGAATACCTGCGTGAATGGAAACTGTACAGCGCCGGAAACCTGTACCTGCTACACGGGCTACATGTCGGGCCCACTTCTGTACGGTTCATTCGTCTGCGTGCCCGTCTGCGACGGCGGCTGTTCGTTCGGCGTCTGTATCGAACCTAATGTCTGTGAATGTGACCCGGGCTATCAGCTAATTGAGAACACTTGCAGACCAGTCTGCTCTAAACCCTGTGAAATGGGTACGTGCATCGCTCCCGAGATCTGTACCTGCTATTACGGTTACGGACTAACCGAACGCTCAGCGTACATCTGCGAGCCGGTTTGTGAGAAAGCCTGCGTGAACGGTACCTGCACCGCTCCTGGCATCTGTGACTGCCACGAAGGATTCGTCCTTTCTGACGACGAATCCGAGCAACACGTCTGCAAGCCTCACTGCGACCCGCCCTGCGGACCTTACGGAGAGTGCACCGCGCCTAACACCTGCACCTGCTTAGAGGGATACTACGCTGAAAGCATGGATCATTCTGTCAACGTGAGTCAATAAATTACCATAGAACCTTGGTTACTCTATTTTCGGACATCGAACGGTGTAACAAATGAAAAACGTCGCTCCACTGGTTAATGATTCTCATCGGAACATCGAACGATTTTTCAGACGTCGATCTCTACCGTCGAACGATTTGTTGTCTGCCAACCGGAATGCGAGGAGTGGTGCAAGCAGCATGGCCATTGCAGCTCACCACGTGTCTGCACCTGCGATCCCGGTTACCAGTTCCATCAACACTTGATGATGTGCTTGCCTGTCTGCGACGAGGAGTGCGTGAACGGTTACTGCGACACACCGAACAAATGCGGCTGCCTGTCGAATTATGAACCTCTAATGGCAAGTCGTCGAACCCTTGTATCCACGTGCTGGGAAAGTTCGAATCAATTCGAATAGAATTCGATACCTTGCAACTCTTGAACACCTCAAACGTTTAGAAGCCTTCACAATGTTATTAAACTGTCCACATCGAAACTCACATTTATACATACGTCGAACCCTTTAAAAAACCTCAACAAGTTGGACTTTCGTTCGCTGAGCTCCTTTTGCTCGGAGACTCGATAAGATCGCTATACCTTGAAGATCTTGTGTCATTTCTCGCGATTCAAGTTACCGAGATTCAATCGTAATTCGAACTTCAACTGTCTCGAAAACAACGGATTGCTTGGAAACTTGAATTCAAATGTTCATCGCTACCTGCAGGGGAAACCCAACGTCTGTGTACCTGTCTGCTACGACGGCTACGTGTTAGACGGAATGACCTGCACGCCGGTCTGTACGGAGCCCTGCGGCGAATATGGACTCTGCGTGGCACCGGGAGCTTGCAGGTACATCGGTCGAACGAAAGTCGGCTGGAATGTAATCACCGTTACTGGATTATTCGTTCATATCTTCCATTCATTTTCTCCATTCCCCATCTCACAGGTGCAACGATGGCTATCGCTACGTTAACAACACGACAGAGTTCACCTGCGAACCAGTCTGCGACTTGGACTGCCAGAACGGTACCTGCGAGGCTCCGAACGTTTGCACCTGCCATTCGGGCTTTGCGAAGGACGAAGACGGTCGTTGCCAACCTACCTGCGCCTCCTGCGAGAATGGCACCTGCGTAGCTCCCGAGGTGTGCCAGTGCGACGAAGGCTACGCTCTCGTTGCGCAGGGAAATAGAAGCTTCTGCGAGATCACCTGCGGCAATTGCACGAACGGAAAATGTGTGGCGGTCGGCGAGTGCGAATGCGACGTCGGTTTCGTGAAAAACGGCAACGACACCGGATGCGTGAGCGCCTGCGGGAACAATTGCAACGATCGCGGCTTATGCGTCACTGAGAACGGCACCTGCGAATGTTATTACGGATGGAACGGTCCGCTCTGCGAGCAGCCGGCGTTCTGCATTTTGGTCGTTGAAAATGGCACCGAGTACTTGAACGCGTGAGTATGGGATCAGCGTGATTGATAATGGAAATTTTCTTCTTTTCCTCGTCTTTTCGGCAGAACGAGCGTCGCCGATAACGTGAACGACACGATCGTGAGCACGTTCTCCAGCAGCCCGATATGTTTCAACGACTGCTTGGACGAGATCGGTAACGAGACGTTGTGCTTTGACAAGTATAGGCCTGTCGGCGAGGAAAATGATTTTGTCGCGTGCCTCATGAACACTGGTAAGAGTTTTCTTTTATTTATTTATTCGTTTGAGTGTGCCTATCAATCAAATGGACTAGAAGTTACAAATAAAATAAGTGTACAAAGATATAGTAATTTATCATTTAATCACTTTTTGTTGGGTCATTTTTTGCCATGATAATACTTTCAGCTTCTGAGTCTTGAATTAATGGTTCTAGTTTACTGTTCCGTTCGTTAGGACATGAATGTATGGAATGGTACTTGAGAAAGTTTAACAGGTTTGGTTAAATGTGCGCTCGATACTTAGCTTCAAAATGTAAAGAGCTAAGGTAATAGTTGTTTCCTCGAATTAATTTAGTTAAAGCACCGCCCTATGTATTTACGTCTTAACGATTTCAAAAGTGTTTAAAGTAAAGTGACAATGAGAAGCAGGAACGATAACATCCAATGGTTACTCGGTTGCCATTTTAGATTCGACCTGTTACACGATCGCCGCGGGGAAAGAGAGCAAAATTGCCAACTCTTATACCTTCATCTTAATCGCAGGCAATCTGGTTATCATGATATTAGCCATCATCGCATTGCTTGTGGCGATACGGAAGTACAGAACAAGGAGTTTTGCTATAAGTAATCATTACCTTGATATAAAAGAATAAAAACAATTTATACGCGAAGCATCGAAAAATGATTAACTACATTAATTCCGTCCTATTCAGGTGCTGCCCAAACGAGTGCATTGAATAGCTGCGCGTCGCTGCTGCCCGCGGAGGACAGTACTCTTTAGCGTTGTGAGACGACCTCATACTAATTACAATTTGTTAAACTAATAGTTAAATAGACTTTATTATTATGATTCTTAATAAATAAGTTAATATATTCTTCAATATTCCCAGTATTCTGGTTAATCGATAAATAACATGGGTGTCCATTTCGTATGACCATTTTGAGTTTACTAGTACAAGGGCGAATCGATAAATTTTGATTACACGAAATATTGATAAAAATATTATGTTTTGAAGCAATAATAAAGAAGACATAAACAGGAAAGCGGACTGAAACTTATAGGAAGATAAACGCGGCGCCTCGCTTCCGCTGGAACGTTAACAAAGCGTGATAATGACAATGATAAACAGTTTCCTGTCGTTTAATTCTACCCGCAGTTCACAAAGAACAGAAATAAATTGAAAATGAGTCATAAACCATTGCATACATCACGACGCTAACTGCATGTTGCGCTCCGAAACGTGTATAACCTGCAAGAACCGTCGCATTCACGTTTGAAATCGATATGCAATCAAGAATCACGGTACATGTGTCCTACAGTGTCAACCGAAGCCAAACTACTGCCTCCAACGCGATGCACGAACCTCCATTATCCCCTCTGCACCTCCACTCCCTTCGTAAAATAATCTTCACGCATGCACTCTTCGTGGAGTCGTTTCTATGTATGGATTCATCGGGATCTTTCTAGGCTCCAACATCATCACACATTGAACATCCTGCAAAGCCTCCCCCACTCACGATTTTGAATTCATCCACCAGAAACATACATACACGAAACTCATAAAAAAAAGAGATACAGAACGAACTTCCTCAAGAAACAATTTATTTCAAACCAATCTTCAAGCAACAACAAAGTAGAACAAGAGGTATCCCTGAAACACTCTCATACATCTTCAACCTCCCACTCGTCCATTGCCCAAATCCTCCCAATCCAACATTCTTGACGACAAACCAACTCAACGGAAGGCTTTCAGAACTATTTAATCACGAAAACACCTTATCACACATAAGTAGTCACCTAGACTCTTCGCCAGACGTTAAACCGACGGATTCAACTGTCGATACGCCGTATGCTTGTCCAGTTCACAGTTCAGAAGAGTAGACCGAGAAGGTAGGGACGGAGAGCCGCGGCGCGAGATCTCGATCGGCGAGAAGCGTCGCGCCGCGCCGCGTTGCGTCGCGTCGCGTCGCGTCGGCCCGAAAGGGAGGGCGGAAGGGGTCAACGGGTGGCGGTGCATCGCGCAGCTGCGAGCTGGCCGCGGTGGTCGACCGGCTAACGGAAGGAAGGCGTCAGTGAACGGGGAGCAACGGGACGGAGAACGCTGTCCGGCGACACG